TTTCTAATTAGTTTCTTATTTAGAATCAATTAACTTGAAGTCACATAATTCCGTTTAAAAGCCACTGTATTTATTGTCGACATTAATATTCCTAATTCTTTTTAATATTTGACCGTCGAATTTTTGTAGGTGAATAAAAGTTACTCTAATCTTAAGTGACAAGTGATCATAATTAGAATAATTACCTTAACTGTAATGGCATTATAAATAACGCGTTACTGCAAATCAACGAATACTCACTGACATCAGTGAAATATTTTCTAACTTAATCAAAAACATCATCACTGATTCGTTTTAAAAGAATACTATATACTAAAAGTAACGCGTCTTCCGCATCATTTAATGCCTTTGCTCATCTAAATAAAATGAGCGTAAATTGTAAGACACATTAATAGTTATTTTTTATCAATAGTCACTTTTAAATCCGACAAGTATGAAAATATCTGCGATATATCAAGCCTCGTTAAATTGATAAATTAATATTGGTCTCCGCTTCGACTTATGAATGATAAAAGCTCAAGTGAAGTATAAAAACATGAAGCCGGATCTTCACTTAAAAACGGTCGTATAATTAGCCCCCGATCGCTGATTTTTGGTCTTTCCACTCGCGAAACGTGTCCACGTCATAAATTTCGGCGACACTTTTAGTATTGCGTGCACGCTAATTTGGAAGCGTCGGACCGCCCTCGTGCCAACGACGCCCGCCTCCTGGTGAAATACACACATTTATGCCGCATTTCCTCGTTCACTTGAAATTCACTTAACTAGAGAACATCCTCGTCTTCTTTTGTTCCTTGCGGTGACGAGATGGACGAACCACGGTCGACGCGACGAGCACGTTCTATACCGCCACATGTAAATTCCCGATTATCTTTTCACCGTCGTATTGCGTATTACGACTTCATCTACCGGCGGTTCACCAGTCATCGCGATCACCAGTTTCACCACGATTGGTATCGCATCGGCAGATTTATGTAATCGGCCTTAAATAACGCTTAAACGCCTCCGAAACGTGTTTGATACCCGCGCGTTATCGCATATATATATTTAAATGCGAAGCAACGAGGCGCACAGCGCACACCTAATTGTTTATTCGTGCGATATTCCGGCGCGCTCGGGCAGGCTGAAATATTGCATCATAAACAATTTATTGGTCTACAACCGCTGCGCTCGCTACCCCGCCGCTTCAGCACGGGAGAGATACGTTAACGACTCGGTTACGGGCATTATCTCCTTAGGTCTTACCATAAAGGAATAATTTTAGACTCGGTATGTAACCGTGTACTATACTTGCGGGTGAATCGCAAAAATCGGCTTTACGGCTTCGTACACATGTTCACGTTCCTGCGTCCACGGCGCGAAGGTGTGCCGATTGTGTGTGGCCCCTTGCTGGCGTCCGTTCGCCTGTCAAACGGAACGGATGATTGACCGGGCACGAGAAGGACTCCAAAGAGAAAGCTCTTGAGTGTACAAAGAGCCCGTTATAAAGTGGCCTTTAAGTGGTCGTTTAAAGCCGCGTCGCGGCTTTTTTCCACAATCTTTTCTTCCCTCCGCAGTTCCCGAGTCCCCATTGTTACCAGCGCTCCGTTGGATTCACGTGTTCCACGCGGGGAAAAAATTAGTCTTAAATCAAGAAAGATATTCTCGATATGTGGCGAGAATATTTACAATCTTCTTGGAGGATTTTCAGTCTTGAATCGAGCTCGAGCAATACTCGCATGAATATAAATTCAATCAAATTGAGACGAGAAAGTCTTCGAGGAAGATTATGATATTCCTGCTTATATGTGAGAATAAGGTAAACGTCTCAGTGATTGAATATACATGGTGCCGATGATTAAAATATCATCAGTATATTTTTCTTTATTGAGATGCTTTTCAATATATACGGGACAATGTAATAAATGAAAAGAAATGTTTAATTAGAGTTCATGATTTTGTTTCATTTATTGATAAGCGTCTCAATAAACATATACATATTATTAACGTTTCAATCATTGGGACACGTTCAATTACCGGGACGTTTACCTCATCTATTTTTTATTCGAGGCTAATTTCTTCCCATACGGTCGCCGAGCAACTAGTCCAGTTTCTCGAAAATGTTTTCCCAAAACGTTCGTTAAACAAATGATCCTTGCAGGAACCGATGACGACTATGTTCTTGGCGTTGCAAGGTGGTAAATTCGACCACCCCAACAGGCTGTTCTCATCCATCGCGCTCTCGTGGAAAAACTGCCAGCGCGATACGTCCGACGTCAAGGTTCGTTGCGTTTAATTAAGATAGTAGAATTTACATTTAAACCAAGCCAGTAGTAGCCGCATCCACCATTGTTATCATCGCTGAATAAATTCTCGATTGTATGCGCTGTTTGATGTACTCGGGGATTGGCCGTGTCGTAAATTTCGCTTCTCATTAACAGGAACTCATTCCGGAATTCTTCTTTCTGCCGGAAATGTTGGTGAATAGCAATCGCTATCATCTGGGCAGGCAGGAAGATGGTAGCGTGGTCGGCGACGTTGAGTTACCACCTTGGGCTTCTTCACCCGAAGAGTTCATACGTATAAATCGAATGGTACGTTGGGCTTGCCTTCACGTTAAAACATTTTTCACATGTAAATATATATGAAGAACGTGTCCATTTATGAAAATATTTACAATAACTCTACATCATTATACACAATTATATGTATAATTATATATTATATATATTATGTATATATTATATATATTTATATACATTATATGCCTGTGTATAATCAACGTGCGCACCACAGGCGTATAAGAGAGGTGATCACGCCCGGATACGGGCAATAGGAGTAGGAAGAAGAAAGATATACATTATATATATTATGTATATTTATATATATAATCATATATAACTTTATTACCTCACTGTATTACTTCATATATAATTATATATTTTCACATATAATTATATGTAATTATATATAATTATTTATAATTATACATATATAAAAATTTTCTTACCACGGGATTATTTTCTCCCCACGACCCTGAGAACATTCGGATCAATTCTTTTTCCAGGCCCTCGAATCTGAGTTTGTATCCTGCCAATTACATCAATGGATCGACCTGATATTCGGTTACAAACAGAAAGGTGAGATCAATTCGAAAATCTATCATCGCATGAGAATCACGGATAATGAAAGATAGCCAAGAGAACTTTCACCATTCACTGATTATAAAAAAATAGGAAGGACAAATAAGAGCCGATCGCTGCTTATTGTTCTGACATTCAGCGCAGATAGACGAAGGGTTCGAAAGATAGAAAGTTCCTTTCTTTATCACAGTTATTTTCATTAAGCTGCGCGACACGCAGATTGCGATCTGCTCCCCTCACTTGTCTCCTTTGTATTAACGATTTTTTCACATACTTTGACTCGACACTTTTGGTGATTGTAACGGCACCGCGAGAAAAGTGAACTTTTATGGAGGTGTCTGGGAAACTTGATTGAGAAATGCGTCTCCCGATTGTTCACGCAAAATCATTCTCGCATCAGGTTCAAGCGGTAACTAGCGAATTGAACTTGGACGTCGCAAACTGTCAGGTGCCGGTCTCGCGGGCGCCCGAAATCGCGCCGGGTGTTGGGACAGAAGCAGTCGAGTCAAATTAGATTTCCACTGATGGTAATTGCCAATGGCGCCTCTATATCCGGCGCTTCCTCGAAGATGCTGCCTCGGCATCGGGGAGCGGCGGGCAGCGGGACGGATGGTATTCGAGCTCGCGCGCGTATGGAAGGAATTAGTTTTTAGTTAGCTTCCTCTCTCTCTTTCTCGGCCCACGTCCCGACCAATTAGGCACGTGTGCCGAACGCGACAATGTGTCCCACCCGTAATATGCAACACGTTTACGAGAGCGGTTGGTAACCACGAAAGCGGAGCTAACCACCGGAAATACCGGCCAGAAGCAATCGACGCGCGAGCTCTCGGAAGATCGTTCTCGTAGAACATATCGCACCGTATTGTCACGACGCGCATTGTGCCGGCGGTACATAAAAACGAAGCATAAGGCTGCGATGGGGAAAGTAACGAATTAAAATTATCTCTTTCACACGCTTCTCTTATTCATCAACCGAACAATACCGAGCATATTGTGAATATAGAATATTTCATTTCAATTGTCGCAGTGAGTGTCCCCAAATAACACGGTGAATCACGTAATCGTATTAATGTATTCTTGAAAGTTTCTTCCCTCCTGAACTGTAATTCTTTGAAAGGGGGGTTCATAGAAGAACACTATAAGAATGATTCAGATATTTATATGATTCAAAATACACCATGATTGGGGGGAATTCCTGGGAATCTCTTGGAGTATTTATAGTATTTATATAGAATATTTATATAGAATTATGTATGTAGAATATATTCATATAGAATTATTCTACACCTATAGGCGTATACTTTATTCATTTCAAGCAAATAACATTTAAGAACAGAAAGATGGCTACAAAATATCCAGTAAACATCAAATAACAGTTATATTACATTAATATTAATATAATTTCCTACTCACCAGTATAATATGACATATGTTACGTAAGAGTTACGTTGTTGAGTGGGAAATTATAATATCGATATAATGTTATTATTATTTGGTGTTTACATTAATAGTTATTTTCCAAATTAAAGAATTAAAACAATTAAATAGTAAGAATTGTAACAATTAAAATAAATGTATTCATACGCAGTTTTCGGCAGCATAAAGAAGAAAAAAAATTGAAAGTGGTTTAATAGAGCATCTTTTTGGAACGAATATAAAAAATAAACAACTTTTGTCTAAGCCATTTTGTCTTTGACAAATATTTTTGGAAATATTCAAGATAATTTTTTCAATGCAGTGAGCTTACGAAAAGTTGCGAACGACTGAATATCTCATAAGTAATACATTTTTGAAAAAAAATGTCATGCGGAACTTATAAGGTATGAAAAGTTAAATTCAATGATGTGATGATATTAGTTTGACTTTAAATGAGGCAATAACTATCGTCTTAAATATATTCAAAATATAAGAATAGGAAAAAATGTATCTAACAGAAATTGCATTAATACTAATGGTCATCATTCCGAACGCCTTTCGTAAATGTAAACTTTTTTCTAGATAACCCAAGATGTCTCAAAATTATCCAGAGTGTGTCTAGAATGTCCTGAGGAATGTCTTAGGACGTCCTAAACTCATCTAAGACGATCTGAAGACGTTTCATGTTATCTAGGATCTTTTTTTCATATAGTCGTTGATAAAATATATTCATTTTTTGAACATATACATAATGTATATCAATATAATATTTTGATATTATGCGTTCCCGATAGGTCCGGAAGCTGTGCGCGCAACCAACGTTTTCTACTACTTAACATACGAAGGTAGCGTAGAGCTCGACACGATCACTGATCCCATGATAAAGGAAGCTATCGAGAATCAAATTAAGAATTTCGGGCAGACGCCGTCGCAACTCTTGATGGAACCGCATCCTCCAAGGAGTTCAGCGATGCACTTGGTTAGATTACTTTAATATGTCCTAATATATCGAGTCACGCAGAGTAAAAATGTTACGTTCAATTTTTTTCATTTCAATTTAACTTTATCACATTCAATGAAAACGGATTGTTCATCAACCAAACAATCGTCGTCATTGTCCACGATCTTTATTAACGGAATATTATTAGTATTATTGTCTGTATTAAATGTGACTCTATTTATTGAAGATTGAACCGAAATTTGGAATCAACTCAATATATATATATATATATATATATACAGGGTATAATTTTTTAATATACCGTTTGAAAATAACTTAAAAAATATGCATGAAATAAAAAATATTTGTAAGTTATTTGGTTTTAAAAGTGACGTAACATCGCGACTCTGAATTTCCTTTAGATTGCATTTTTCAAGGTCATTTTAAGGTCAATTTCATTTTTTTTATCGAAATCATATAGTCTTTTTAACACGAATCGATTCCCCAGTTTATGCTGCGTAAAAAAGTACTAGAGTAAGATCATCGGAAAGTGAATATTTTCCGGGATATTTTATTTTTTATTCTATTTTGTTTTTATTTTAATATTCTTCAGTACTCGATATGAAATATCTCATAAAGTATTCACGGTCTTTTCGATACCATCACTTCAACACCTTTTTACTAATAATAAAATGAGAGAAATCGATTACTAATATTAATCATTGAACATTGGTACACCGACGCATTTGCAAAATGCAATGAACTTTCTTAAGGTTTCTCTATATTTGCTTATAGTGATCGATTATATCTGTCATTCGATGTACAAAAGTATTAAAATGATATTTTTGAGAAGCGAATACTTTATGAGATATTTCTTGATATATCTTGTACTAAAAAATACCAGAATAAAAAAGTAAAATATCTCGAATATTCACTTTTCGATGATCTTACCCTAATACTTTTATACTCAGAATGAACAGAGTAATTGATTTATATCAAAGAAAACTAGGTGATTTCATTTGAAACAAAATGAATTTGAACTTAAAGCGACCTTGAAAAACGTCATCTAAACGTAATTCAAGTCCACGGTGCTATTTCTCCCTCGAAATCAAACGACTTTGGTTTGAAACATCTTTTCATTTAATGGATATTTTTCCGTTACATTCAAACGACATTAAATGACTCGTCTTGTAAATGTGCTCACATATGGTTAGAAAAGTAACTCTATATACATGGCTAAAAAAATATAATAAGCTTGTATATATTTTCAGACACCAATGATGTTCTCGAGCATCCCGGACGACGTATGCATGACCATCAAATTCCCGTCTAATTCACCGATCTGTCATATCTCGGCCAACACTTATCCTCAACTGCCACTGCCATCAGTTGTGACGGTAACTACCGGGCAGCAGTTCGCTGTTAATCGGTGGAACACCAATTATGCAGGTGAGTAATTTTCTACATGCTTCAGCACTGCATCGATTCCCGTCACTTTATGGTCGTTGTAATTTGAGCCTTCCACAGCCTCTGTGCAATCACCGAGTTATGCGGACACACCTCAGGCGCAGGCTGCCAATCAGCCATTGTCCATGGATCCTGTTCTCTGTGAGTACACGTGCGCGCCTCAATTAGAAATAACATTTTTCCCGAGATAATATCTTTGGTATGCGAACATTGATCGATGCTACTATCAATATACAGGTAACTAGATACTCGGATACTATCCGGATACCTTTAGATATTTCCCGGGTTATTATGAAAATTACCCAGGTATCTGAGTATCGTGATTAATGTGCTAACAATGAAACTCACAATAATGTCTCCACCGATTTTTATGAGCTTGTAATATGTTGAAATCTGGACCACAAACAACGTATATTTCTTTATAGTCCTTCTTAAAGTGTATGATGGAATATGATCAGAGGTGATAGAAATGGATATAATTTCTGTGTGTGATATATATAACTTATCGCTTACCAAAGTCGCACAACATAGACTATCTCTGTATTTTAATATCATATTTTATGATACTTTCCTTTCCAATCGTTTTAAATATAAGTGATTATTAAATATAAACGTTGTATAATAGCTGATGTTTTTCAATCATAGGAATATTGCACATCATGTATTTATTATTTTATGATAAATTGCTTATAATATTTTTTTCATGACACCCTGCTTATAATGATGGTTAGAAAATGGATCTGATAAAAATGAAAAGAATATTTAAGTAGTTTAATCAAATTTTATAATATTATTCTTTTCAATCGTGTTGTCTATGAAAGTTTGTAATACTACACTAAAATAGAAGGAGGCATTACTGTAGGCTTCCTTGTTAGCATTTTAAAAAGCAAGAACAAAATTAATGTGAAACTAACTGCTGAAACGAGAATCAATAATAAATAGCAAATATATTATTACTATCGAATCTGTATGCCCGGGGAGTTCCCGCGAAATTGAATGTCCAGATGTAGAAATCGTTGAATTCATATTGACAGGACTATTGCGATCTCTCATGTTTTTAGCTCAAGCAGCGAATAGCTCGAACCCGGCGTTACGTCGGCATCTGGGCGACAATTTCAGTCAGAAGCTCAAGATTCGCAGCAATTGCTTCGTCACTACCGTGGACAGTCGATTCCTGGTGGCTTGTGGATTTTGGGACAACAGCTTCCGCGTCTTCTCTACCGAAACAGGTGAGTCGATCTTGATCCACAATTCCTCATCGCGTCCTGATTTTAATCGCCTGCGATTAGCACGACGGTCCCTTCCAGCCGGCTAATAGGTTCTACAAGATAGATAAATGTTTCCAGCAAAAATCGTCCAGATAGTCTTTGGTCACTACGGTGTTGTCACTTGCTTGTCGCGCAGCGAGTGCAACATTACTTCCGATTGTTACATCGCATCCGGAAGCGCGGACTGCACCGTCCTTCTGTGGCATTGGAACGCCAGGACGCAGACAATTGTCGGCGAGGGCGAAGCGCCGGCACCTCGTGCGACCCTCACTGGTCACGAGCAGGCTGTGACAGCCGTTGTCATATCCGCCGAGTTGGGTCTAGTTGTCTCGGGATCGTATTGTACGTATTATGAGTGAAAAAAGGACATAAAAATAGAAAAGCAGAATTTGCGTTTCAAATTTGTATATGTGCATCTCGGCCATATATAACAACAATAATAATAATAATAATATAAATATATAACAAAATATATGCTATCTCAAATAATAAACGAACACCCAGGGCTGAGCAATCGTTACACCATCTAGTTCAATATCCGATGTCCGTAGATGGCCCGGTACTCGTTCACACCACTTTCGGCGACCTCCTGAGGTCGTTGGAGGCGCCAAACGGATTCTCGTCACCCGAGAACATCGCTATGTCACGCGAAGGTGTTATCGTAGTGAATTACGAGCGCGGGCACATAGCAGCGTTCACTATCAATGGGAAACGTCTTCGCCACGAGTCTCACAACGACAATTTACAGGTAATTTTTCACTCGCTCCTCTCACCTCCTTTTCCCCCTTTTGACGATCCGCAACGATCGGGAGATAACGTTGTCGTGAATTTTCCAGTGCTTATTGCTGAGCAGAGACGGTGAATATCTGATGACAGGAGGCGATAAGGGTATCGTGGAAGTTTGGCGGACCTTCAACCTCGCTCTGCTCTACGCGTTCCCCGCGTGCGAAAGCAGCGTGCGTTCCCTCGCTCTCGCTCATGATCAAAAGTGAGTGAAATGATTCCGAGTGTCTCCTTTCGTAAAATCTCATTGTTTGCATGAAATTTCAAAGATACGTGAAAAGATACATAAACGCCTCCCGTTTTCTAGGTTTCTCCTGGCCGGTCTGGCAAACGGGTCCATTGTGATATTCCACATTGACTTCAACCGATGGCATCACGAATTCCAGCAGCGTTACTGAAATTACGACTTCCTCTTCGCCTAAGGACGCAAGCGCACCTCGTGAGATGTCTCGGAAAGAAAAAAAAGAAGGAAAGAACTCTCGCACTCTTCAAGCGGTTATGACAACTTCTGTTACGAAATTACTCGCGTCTCAGAGCTCAAATAGCTCTTCGTTCGAACGACTTCCCCATTGATCCGTGTGTCAACTCGCGAATTCGCGGGGGCTGAAACGGCGTATTATCAGTCAAAATAAGAAAGAAAGAAAAAAGCTCGTGCACGCGGGCCAGCTTTTCTTCGTCGGATTTTCGCCGAATCCACCGTACGTTTACGGTGTATGCAGAGGGTATGCTGTGTGAAATGGGGCACAATGAGAGCAGCGATGAGAGGAACGATGTGTATTCGCCTGACATCGAGATACCTGCGAATTTTAGCGTTCAGCAATAAACCTCCCTTTCGCGGTCGCGTGCTCGTGAGGGGAACAGTCGAGCGGGGCGAGACGCAAAAAAGAAATGAGGTGCGATCACGTGAGTGTTGTTTACCTGCACACGATCGCCGAGAGAGAGAGAGAGAGAGAGAGAGAAAGGGAGAGTAGAAACGTCCGGCCGCCGCGAAAGTTTGTGTAAAGCGTAGACACTACATGCGTGCCGCTCGAAACGCTAGTCAATTAATGAAGACTCGAATGTACCTACCCTACATTCGCGACTGTTTGCGGTTGCCGTGATCGTGCGATTATTTCTTCTCACGCGCCGCGCGCGAGGAGGAAGCACACGTCGTCCGGGGAAGTAGTAACAGCCGTCGGCGCGAAACCGGAGAGGAAATGTCACACTTCCGTGACGAGACGGCGGAGCTGAACATACACGTTATTTTTATGTCTGAAACTGCACGTGGATTTGGCCACGGACACACTTTAGCCCTTAATGTCCAATGTGTAAATACGAATATATATTCTTCACGATACACGTAATCCACACATACACACGCACGCACGCATCATATTAAGAACACGATATTATACACATCCGTGCAAATACACGTATACACAGATGCGCATATACACGCTCACGCGCGCTTTATTCCGTGTTAGAAGAAGCGAGGAAGAGAGAGAGAGAGAGAGAGAGAGACGCGTATTATCGCGCGAGAGACTTGCATTGTATTCTTCGCCGACGTATTAATGTCGCTCACGTCGAAACTTTTTGGCTAAGCACCTTGTACGTTCAGTTCGAACTATATACGCACGCGAACGCGCACTGCGTATCACCGATGACCGGGTAGCGTCCTGGCAAACATCCGGTCGGTCGGCACGTCACCGATCGCTCTGCGGGACAGCCTCCGGTATCATCAGTCATCCCCGCTACTACACTTTCTACACCCTGATGTTCGCGTCCTTCGAAAAAGATCCTAATTTTTATCAAAGCCGTCCAGCTTAACTTTCGCGAGGATATTTCTTAGTATTTTCGCACGCGACGTATATATTTAATCAGCAAAGCAACTTATTGTATAGGCTAAAGTAACATCCCCGAATTCACCCTTATAAACATTCCGCGCGATTCGTCGAGGATAGTCTGTGTGGGCGAATGCGTGATCGGCGCGTCCCTTAGGACGCGCCGAGCGACGAGTAGAGTAGAGTATACGAGATAAAGGAACGTGAGAGCGTAAGTGTGTGCGAGTGTGAGAGAGAGAGAGAGAGAGTGAGAGAGTGAGGGAGTGAGGCGAGGAGTAGTAATTCACCTTGACATTCAACAACGATGGGGGAAGATGATGCTTGATCGTGCGTAAGTGAAGTAGAATAACTTGATTTTTCGTTCGTACGTCATCGTAGAACGTGTGATAGCTGTCTCGTAATGTTGCTACTAAGTATTAGTATCTCGTCATTCTGAGCCCTGTTCTATGAGTGAGAGAGACACATACGGGGCGCCGTATAAATATAACATTTCGATTGTTTCTACGTATTCTCGATATAGTGTATCTCGTCGTAATCTCGGTTAAATCTTGTGTAACGAGTGATTACTTATCTAAGGAGATGTTGTTTTCTTGTACAATGCTTAATAGTCGTACGATGATAATGAACGCGTCACGCGAACCCGTCACGGTAGGTAGTAAAAAGTTCTTCGTGTACGAGAGAATGATGAAAGGTACACGGAAGAAGAGAGAGAGAGAAAATGTGATGGATGAAGCAGAAGGGGGGGAGGGGGGTGAATAGGAAAGTGCGAGGAAGGAAGAAAGAATGTAAATGCACTTCATTCGAATGCGGATGTGTGTTACGGATCGCAGTTGATATCGGCGGCGATAATTTAAGAGTGACTTCGAGTGATCCTATATTTTATATTACGCAATCTTACATATTCGCGCGGCTCAATTCGTCATTTACTTCGCATTCACGCGGACGAATGATATCTCCTATTCTAGAAGCGCTTAGTCGTAGCTGCGGGACGAGTAGGCGGGGGGAGGAAAGTGCGAAAGAGTAGATAGGTAGCATCGAACGCGGCCAAATCTTCCACTTCGTTGACAATTTTGATAACGCCGTCTCCAGACGGGCTTGAAGAGTATCAGACGCGTATCGAGATCGAGATCGCGTCTTCGAGGCACTTGGGCGCGAGGGCACAGATTTTTCGGCCACCTCAGCGCGCTGTGTGTGTGTGTGTGTCTAGTCAGGGATTATCGCGCTGTCGCAAATCACCTGCGATCCTCAGCATTCTAGGTATCGATATAAAATGATACACCGTACTACGTTTACGTATGTAGATGTATAAAAAAAAAAAAGGTAAACGCATAGTGCCGTCGTTTTAGTGATCGAATCACACTTTCGGCTTGCGAGATCGCGGCAGCGTTACGACGATCGCAACCGGGGGTCCGCTCGCGATCCCGCTCTCGTCGCCGGTAATTGTACAATTCTTAAGCACATAGGAGGATGTTACGTGTGCAACTTGTTAATAACGTTGTGTATTACCACTCGTTATGGGCGTGCTTCTATATGATCGTTCGTGTCTTATTTTATTTGCGCATAAAAGGATGTTAGCACGAATGGGAGAGAAAGGAAAGGCGATGAAGTGACGAAGAAAAGGAAAAGCAAGAGAGAGAGAAAGAGAGGAGACAAGAGTCGAAGATTGTGTCCGGTGCTTTCAATGATATATCATTAGCTCCGTTTATACATACGCATCGGAATCGAGATCCCGTGATCGCGAGTATTCGATATATAGGAGCGCGCGTGGACTCTTGATTTTCATCATAATAAGAGCTACGTGTAATGAGAGGAGGAGGCAGAAGAGAACAGAAGAAAGGAGCACGCGACATTCCATCGGCATTTCCCATTTTTCTCAAATTCGAGATCGATCGGGGGCTAAAGGTCGGAGAAAAAAAAGCAAGAGGAAATTGGCAATCTCATTCCTTTCGTAAGCCGCTAATAAAAATAGCGAAAATCGCGAAGTGCAGTGATGGACGAGATCGTGGAAAACGTCACACGTACGATGAATGAAACGTGTTCACGGGGAGTATGACGTGTGTCCGATTAAACGGCATGCATTTTCACATTATTCAATCAGCGTGATGGGGTGAGAATGCATCGGCGTGACGAGGGATCGCGTGAGAGAAATTTTTATATTTGTTTATAAATGTGTGAGAATGTGCTGCACTCTTCGAGCAAGTTGTTAGTGAATTCCCTCCATATTGCTAATATATATATATATATATATATATATACACACATATATATATATAAAAGAAGTTAACTCAAAACGATTTCTGTCCGTATTCGAGCATTCAGTACATAAAAGGAAAAAAAAAAAGACAAAAATATCGCTACTATTTTACATAACGCTAAGTAAAATGCTACGAGAGTTTGCCTATATTATTATTACGATTACGATTTTATTGTCATCATTATTAATTAATATTCTTATTATTGTACGATTGTGGGGCTACATTAATGTACTTAATATTAACAACTATCTATACGGGAGCATAGATTTGTATATTCGTCCGATAAGGCTCTTAATGTTTGCGTGTTAAGTGAACACTTTTACTTACCCATACTACGATTACGAGAATGGCGCGAAGGTAATAGGTAACTGTGTGTAAAGTTTTATCTGGTTTGTTTACACATGCTGCGAGCTGCCCGTAAAAAAAAAAAAAACAAGTACTTACATCTAGATTAACCGACATAATCTAATGTCTATAAGCGTAATCACGGGCGTAAAATGGGAGAAATAATAACGCAAATCGTGCGACACGGATATAACACTCAAGCGCTTTACTTATTAGACTCGCATTATCTACTTAAATCTGGTTTAAGCTTCTCAAAGGTATTCAAGAGTGATGCGGGAGGGAGTCATCGTAAACTGTAGCAAGGAAGCTCAAAAGAATGTCACAGATCAAAATTTTTGGGGGGAAAAGAAAAGTAGAAAGAGAGAGAGAGAGAGAGGGAGAGAGAGAAAGAGAGAAAAAGAAGGAAGAGGAGAAAGGAAGGAAGGAAGAGAAGAAAACAGGGTAATGGAAAGAGAGGGGGGGAGGGGAGTACCAAACCAAAAAGCGTTTTCGTCTTGATCAATCGATTTTTTACATCAGATACACACGCACACACACACACACACGTACACACTCACACACACAAAAGTCAATATACACATAGCCGTAAAGTGGAGCAACTTTGATCGTGCAGACAACCAACGACGGATTATCCATCGTTGAACATCTGTTTGCACTATGTAATGTTTTATAAGCACCTTGACTCGTTTTTAATCCCGTGCCGTAAATAACGCGATCCAACCACGCGCGCGCCCGCGCGCGCGCGCGATCCCATCCGCGCCGCGACTTACGGTTGAGCTCTCTTCCAATTTACGGATTACACCATTACACCGCGATTACATCCCGTATCGAGATCGAGCCTCTTGCCGATATGGCACGGCACATTTCTACGATGAACGATTTTCGTCGTTTTGAAATTAGAAACACACACGAGCGAGGAAACAAGGAAAAGAGAAAGAGAGAGAGAAAGAGAGAGAGAGAGAACGATCAATCGATTGTGTTCGTGAGCGAAATGTAGTTTAGAGGCCTAATTGATTCTCCGGCAATGTTAGCAGTGTGCCGTAACGATTTAAAACGCTCGATCGACGAATACGGGATGTTCGGGCATACCGAATCGAACGGGACTCGACAACTCGCCTCGTATAATTTCCGATGAAGCCAAATCGTAATCGCGATCAGCAACGGATCGCAGCAGCCTCGTCGCTGGCAGGAGAGATACGGTACACAGATTTATTCCCGCCACTTTTAAGAAGTACTACTTAGGTAGAGAAGTACTTAAGTCGTTGCTACATACCAGCATAAGCTCTATCGCTTATTTTATACTTAGAGGTATTGTAATGTTTCGATTAGAGATAATATAATGGGAAAGTTGTATCTTAGCGTAAGGTAGAATAATCTGTAAAGATAAGTAGTCAAATAAATGAAAAGTACATTTGATGTTGCAGACAATCCTATTTTTTATGCGACCGACACCTGTAAAACCTGTCGATGTCGACTATGACGCGGGATACTTGATTTTAATAATATAAAGTTGGGCCCAGGTATGTAGAGCTGAAGAATGCGGAGCTGGATATCCTTGTTTTTCATTTATCGATGTCATTAGAATTATAACAGGGAGCATTGCGCATGTTCGAACGTGTAGAATAAAAAATAGTTTCTCAAATCAATAAGACTTCTTCGCGAAAATGTGGACAGATTTGCTTGTTATTGATTTGATCGTTGTTTTCGCTATTGCATGGTTCAGGGAGGTATTCTGACCTCAGATAGCTCGATTTTGAACTTATTTTCAGGAATTTGTTTTGAAAGGAAAACCTAAAGAATTGCCTCTTTCTATATGATTATATTGTTATTTTACGATAAAATATAAACATTGCTTATTTCTTCATTTTAGAAAATTGACTTTATTAGATATCTCCGCCCTGTGCCCTTCTCCAGTCCAGATAGCACAGAGGTGAATGGAAGTTTATAGAGGATTAATTTTAAGGCTTCTGGATCTTCGTTATGGCTGTTCTTCTTTGATAACGTCTGAAGTGAGAAATCGTACGGCAAATATATATTGCAGTATACGTGAAGATGAAAGAATATACGCACAAAATGCCTCTTGTGATCGATTCGGCACACTTGAAATAATATCCGAATGCTCTTCTTTAACCTCAATAATCAATAAATAGCCGAAAATCTGTGACGTGCAACTTACGTTTTTGGCCTATCTTTTCTCATGATTTACGATGATGTTACGTTAATTTTACGGCTGTTTATTGATTGTTCAGGTTAAAAGAAAGCATCCGGACATTTTTATACCCAGTAAGCAAATTGATCGCAGACTGCGTGCAGATTGGCAGCAAATTTGATCAGAATTCCATACCAAAACTATAACCATCTGTGTCCGCATTCAGCTCGTGTTTTGGTGACTGAGTTTACTGACAGGCAATGCAAGCAGATTGACAGCAGAAACCGTGCGAAACCTACTGCCAAACCACCCGCAGCAAGATACGCTCGGTTGGCATGGTGTCACCAATCTGCCGTCAGATCGCTACAGGCTCTGCTCGGTTTCTGCCACCAATCTGCTCGCCTGTCAACAGGCTCTATCACATTTCTGGCAGCAGCTTGGTAATATAACGTAATCATAATTACAATATAGATGTTTGTAGATTGCCTCGAAAATATAATTAACTCTGTACATTGAATTAAAGATACACTTCTATAATGATAAAAAAAAATTACAATAAAAATGCATCCCTGTTAAAAAAAAAAACCAGGGGAAATCTGTGAAAATCCATATAAGAAATCTATGGAATTCCATGATTACTCCTAGGGATTTGTGCCAAAAAAACCAGGTCGTAAGTAGAAACCCATATGGATTTCTATGATGTTTCACAAACCATGTGGATTCCTATATGGATTTCCACACACCATGTGGATTTCTATATGGATTCACACGAGTTCCTATGAATTTTCATGGAAATTCACTTAAAAATTTTCAAAAGGGATATACCTGTGTATATGTACGCTAGCTAAATTCAAAATTTTTTTTATCCTTCTTTTTTGACACTATTCCGTTTTTTCTAATTCCTTATCGTCACTTAACCTACATTATAACTTTTCATAGGTGAAAAAAAGCGTCATAAAATGATTAACTCTAAGTCACTTCATTCGCAGATCAAAGGCACAACTAGCATTTTGACCACTATGAAATAGATGCCTGTAACGGTATTCCGCTATATTAAACGAAAGATTTGCATTTTAAAATTCAAACCGCATAGATAAACTTTAGAAATCGAAAAAGAACCATATAACCCAATGAATACTATTACATTTACATTAATTGTTTTTAAATTAATAAATCTTATATATAATTAATCAATAGAAAAAACACTTTGTAATTTATCCTTTTTAAAGATGAAGACATTTTTTAAAGATTGATGTTGATTACAAAGCAAATTTTTAAATAAAAATAAGTTTAACTATATTCCATTCTACTATAATTTTCTATTTCTTCACTAATTCCATTCTATTATAAATTTAAGCTTCAGTATTTAAAATTCCTATTTCTTCACTAATTTTTCACTATAATTTTCCATTCCTTTTTATTTTTAACGCAATTTGTTATTGAACTGATAAAAAATATGATAAAAACGATCATAACAAAAAACTCAATATATTAAACGATATAAATTATAACAAATTAAATAGTGGCACAAATGGCTTATATAATTTATTACAAATATTATATATATATATATGTATATATGTATATATGCATATATATATATAATGTATGTATATATGTATATATGTACATATATATATGTGTATATACATATACATATATTACGCAACTTGCATGTACACTTCATGTCCATATAAGTAATAGATTCTATCTAATATTAATATTTTATGTAATGTGTGTAATGAATTTGTATACGAAATAAATACTGGTCAACTTTTATAAAAAGGATCGAGAACTCTAGCAAATTTCTTTAATCTATCGACGGATCTGTTTGAACGGTTTTACTTTCTACAGGACATTCTTTGTTTATGGAACCATACTTATTTGCAATATTGACTATTTCACGGAGCACAGCGTTCTCTTCTTTCAAAGACTGAAATGCTTCTTTCTCCTTTAATTCATTTTCCTCGTCTAAAGCAGCAGCAGTTTTCATTACAACTGCCATTTCATTAATTTTTTCTGCTTGACTGGTTATGATCTGTATGGAGAAATTAATATGTATCTATTATATAAATAAACAATTGTAAATGCTAATAATATTCTGCATATTTTATTGAACTGATAGATAAACTTAACAATCAATAAATCAATAAAACTTATTTATAAAAAAATGATATAAAAAAAAATTTATAAAAAAATGCCCGTGATTCATAAATGAAAATAAATATTTACGGTGCAAAATGGTAAGTTTTGCTTTGTTTAGTACTAGTCAAATTAAAATTATATTTACTTACGTTAGCATACTTTGAATTATGTAACGATGAAAAATCAGTTTTACTGAGACGTAATAAAGAGGCAGTTTGCTGTCGATATTTGGACATTATGAGCTCAAGTGCATTTTGATGGTCTTCCAATGCATTCCTCAACTCTTTATTTTCCGCCTGTATTTCTCTTAAATGTCTATTTTCTCTTTGGATCCCGGCAATTAATTGTAGATGTGGTCTTTGTTTAGCTTCAGTATTTAAAATTTCTATTTCTTCTTGGTACTGTGCAAAATATAAAAATATGTATAAATATGAGATGTAATAAACTACAATATTTATAATCAAAACAAGATAATATAAATAATATTTACTTGCTTCATATTATCAATTTGTCCACAAACAGCTTCTACCTCACTTATCAGAGTATCTGCTGTATTCTCGTGATCTGAAATTCGTATGACCAGTTTTTTGGCATCCAAAATAATCTGTTGAAATGTCAACGACATCTGTAAACAAATATAGGCTCTATTTATTAATAAGATAACACAATTAACATGCTTTGTATGTTTTTGAGCACTGATTTGCCACTTTTCTTCAAGTAATAATAATTGCTGTATTAATTACTCAAGTTCAATGTCAGAAACAAAACAAAAATCAAGGATTTATCAATATATTTATATATTAATATATGTCATATCTATTTTATACAACTCCCCTTCTGATTCGTGTTATTTACAATGTTAAAATGTCAAAATATTTGTTTTATCGTATAACATATCTCTATTCCGTCTTTTTCTTTTAACAGTGATTCTAACAATCTTAATCATTGAAGTATCACAATTAATAATCATCATCACAAAACTGCAAAAACATATGCAAAATTTTGTGAACATATACATAAATTTGCCAAGAGTCATTGGTGACACACATGGCATGGAAAGTTTTAATGATTCCATCTTAGTCCCTTTCACATTTGTCTTATCTAACTTACGACATTCTTCTTCTAGCGGTTTATACCCCGTTATTTTCACACTTTTATCTAACAAGACGCACCACATTTAGAGCGTTCGGCATCTCTTTACCGAACAAATGATCGTGTTTCTAATTGCACATATATACGTTGATGCGAGAAACTCACCTTTCACAGGAAAGATGATGAACTCAGTAGTGTGCGATTCCTGGGCTCATTCGGTGTTGATTAAACGTCACCGACAACGTCGAGAGGTTATTTGAATGATCTCGTACAGAGTTTGATCTTCTTCACGTTTGCTGTGTACAGCTATCTCGCGCTAACCGTACGATTACGTACTGTTTTACGTGTTGTATTCGATTCTTTGGCCAACGACATTAACATGTGCCATAGTGTATGTGTAGAAATACGTCAGCTGTGCAACGTGTCCCCAAAAGTGTTGGTATTTTCTCCACGCGCGCGCACGCGCGTTCTTTGGAACTTGAGGCCTATTCCTTTAAGGTGCACTTATTGCTACACTGTGTTCGTATCCTGCAACCGCCAAATGTCCCGTTTATCCCTTTTGTTCACAATCTTGTTTTAAGACGTAAGCAAATTGACTAATCACGATCGATCGTTCTTCTAATAAATGACCGTGGTTGATCAATTAGATTACTGCTTACGTCTTAAAGCAAAATTGTGGACAAGGGGATCGCTAATCGTAGCCTACAATGGACAGTAGGAGCATATTAATAGGAAGTTAGAAATTAACCAATCATAGTCGATTATTGTCCTTACATTTGAATATGATTGGCCAGTTTCTTATTCTTACTTCTTACGAACGTACCCCTACTGCCCATTGTAGACTACGCTTTACGTTGTCCTTAAACGGAGTCTACAATGAGAATTTAAGCTCTAAACTTAAAGCCCGTATCAGACTATGGATTGAAGACTGAGGTTGAATTGAAATTTGACCAATCAGTGTAAATTTCACTAAACCTGAGTTCAGTTGACTTTACGGGATCAAATTAACCCTAAAAGGTCATTTGAAAGTCAAATCAATTTTTAGATGAAAAATTCTTAAGGAAAACATTTCAGAGAAAAATGTTAGATATGAAAGTTATGGGATTCAAAGTGGGACACTTGAAGTTGATCTTAATCACGAAACAGGGATCAAGCATTCGAGTCGTCAATATAAACTTGATTTTCTTTTTTTTTTTAATAAAACCCTCATTTTTCAGAAATCGATATAGCATGAAATTTTAGGTAAAACTGTGATCATGACTTGAAGTTATCTTGACTCCAAGGATCATATAAAGGGTCAAACAGGTTTATCCGAAAAAAGTTTTCCTCTGATATCAGAATTTGATAGAACATGAAATTCTACGTAAAAGTATGTAGAGATCAAGTTGACCCCAGAATTAAACTGACCCTAGAATGTCAAATAAAGGAGCGGATTTTATCCGAATAAAGACCTTTTGCTGATTCCAGAAATCGATAAATCCTGAAATTCTACGTAAGATAAGTCGTACAAATTAGGAATCAAGTTGATCACAGGAGTAAAACTGACCCGGAGTCAAATGAAGATCAACGGAAAATTCAGCCAATTAAGGCAGCAGGTCCCGTTAGCGCACGGTGCTAATTCCTCACCAAATATTACGAATTTTGCAAAATAGTACATGACTTTTCTACTTAGTTTCGCACGTTCCAACTATGTACCACGGGAACCGAGAATTGTTTAGAATACTTTGTGTAATATAATTATTATATATATTATAATTATATAATTATTAATTATATATACCCGTATTTTTAAAGTATTTATTGTCTCGAAGCGGTTGAGTTTGTACATATAATGCTAAGTATAATGCTCGTATAAAAATGCTTTCTCAACTTCTTGTATGTGAGAATATCATGACTTGGACACACTTCCATATGAGTTGTAATCCTGATTATCTATGCGATGAGATTCTCTAAAATATTATACGACATAATCCTAAGCTGTAAATATATATTCTATTCAGTGTTTTTCAACTAATATAGATGAGAAAATATGTTTTCTTCTATTCTTCAATCACTTTTAAACGCTATTTAAGTACGCTTATAAAATGATTTTAAGAAACATGTAAATTTGAATAATCTTATAATAATACAATGTTTTGATATAATTCTAATATTATATCAGAATGTTTCTTCATTATCAAAAAGTCGATAAATACTATTTTCAGCATTAATTTGATTGTACTCTTTTTCTGAGATTATGAAAAAATAAATTTTGCTATTATTTGTCATTTCTATAAATTAAATTTCAACAATATATTGTTACAAAATTGCTTAATAATTTTTTTTATTATTTAAAAATACTTCTTCATCTCGAAATGGTGGAAGAATAATTCTCTACATTTACATGATTGTTTCTTGAAATTCCTAGATCTTAGATCATCTTAAACGACGCAATAACATGGCAGTTTTAGGGATGTGTACAGACGCTATATACATATTTATACACGTATTAAGATTTGTAATAGTTATAACAAATATAAATGCAGATTAAACAGTATTCGAAAAATGACGATAAAAGCCCAGTGTATATATTATAAAAAAATCTTTGGTATAAAACACGATGTATATATATATATATATATATATAATTGTAAAAAAAGAATAAGGCACTTTAGGGCTCAAGGCGGAGGCGCTGATAGCAACCGACAGGCAGGGCCTTGCGGATATCGTCAATGTTCTCCACTTCCATTCGTAATCTATTGACTTCACTCTCAAAATTTTTTACCCACTGTGTCTGCAGATTTTTGGCATCCGTGAGAGTGCGAATTCGCTGCTCCAAATTGGCCGCTTTAATCTCCTTTTCAGCGGCCACTAACCGCTCCTCTAGCCGATTCAGATCTGCATCGTCTGAATTAAGAAATAAAACGTAATCTTATAATAAAGTGTATATGAAATGAACCGAAATACTCAACGTGTTTTAGAATTTATAAATGCAAATCAACAAACAAGAAGAAACATAAATTAAAAGATATATATGATAATTAAAATTATATAAGATCTATAAAGATAGAAAAATAATTAAAAGAAACTCATCTACAAAGATAAAGGCAGAAAAACTATAAAAAAATTCACCGATTTCTGGCAGATTTTCCAGCTCTTTGATAATTTCGGCTACTTCGGATAAGGCCTTATCAACTTGATGCGTGGCTTGAGTTACATTAATTTTCGCCTGACCGACTTTATGGTTTGCCTAGAAATAAATTGGGAGTTAACAAAAAATATGGAATTTACAATCATAAAAGATATCTGCTCCAATATATTACAAATATATAATTTTGTATTTATTAATCCCCCCCTCCCCCCACATACCATATTCTATTATTTAAATAATTCTACTTCTTTTTCTACACTCAATCATATAATTACATTTCTATATAACTATATTAGACGTTATTTTATATTTCGATCAATTTTATTTATTTTACATTTCGAATTTGCTTCATTTATCTCTCACCTCCATCGTGATGTTAGAATCCTTGACCACTTGGATCTCGTACTGTCCCATCATCGCATCTGTGATATCTACTCTCTGGTGCAGCTTCTCAGCTTCATTACCAAGTCGCAGAGCCTCGATCTTCGTTTTATTCGCTTCCATTCTGATATCGTTCGCATTCACGCTTGCTTTGTCTGCGTAGTTCTGAAACCACATAAATTGAAGTTATAACATAAAATGCCTATAAATATGAATGAAATACTTCTCAAAATATTAGTTTGTGGAAAATATGAAAGTACGACATATATATTTTTTTATTTCAATATTTATCACAAACTAATGTTCTTTCCGAAAGAAGTCCCTTTATTTATATTTGTTATTTATATTTGTATATTTATTTATAATTTTTATATTTTATTTGCATACATACATATATCGCAATAATTTTCCTCTTACCTGAGCGTTCTGTGCTATTTCACGCGCATTATCCGCGTTGTGTTCCGAGCCGTTTAGCACTCTCTCTACCTCTCTCGCTTGCGTGTTGGCGTTTTCGATCAGTTCCTTGATATTCTGTATATCCTTCAAAGCGTCCTGCGCCTTCACGCGTTCACGTTGCACCTCGGCATCGAATTCTATAAATAGTTTCATCTAATTATTCTTTTTAAATACTTCAACATTTACGATGTTCTTTGTCGCACTTTTATCATCATTTATTTTAATTCCTTCGGACTTGTCTTTTTCTACAAAATTTACCTCCCAACTTTTTCAAGGTTTCCTGAGCTTCTTTCAACGTTTGATCGCCACGGTTAACAGCATCGTTCGCTGTCTCGTTAGCTTGATCCAATTCGGCCAATAGCTCGGCTGTCGCCGCTTGTTGATCTTGAGCTCGTTCCAGGAGCTCTTGGCTCTTCCTCACTTTCTCGATCATTTCGTTTATGAGGTCTTCGTTTTTCTCTAACAAAAGTTGCGCCTCTTCTTTGATCTTCACACCCTGTTTCAATAAATAAATCATATTATTAAGGTTGTTTAAATTATTTATTCATGAAGGGAGGCAGGTAAAATGTAAATATGTATATAAAGTACTAAATAACATAAATAAATCTAAATAAATCAAAGATATCATAATTATATTCACCTTATTGCTGACACTTTCCACTTGCTGCCGCAGTTGTTCAATATCGACCTTTGGAAGTGATAGCTCGAAAATCAATATATCTAGGCCTTCCTTGGAAACAGATACGGATTTATTGACAGCAATGGCAGTAAGATTTCTTACTTCGTTCATACGATCCTCCAACTGCGCCAACTTATTTTCCAATCCTCTAATCTCATCGCTGTAAAATTGTTTTTAATACGTATATGCATGTCGTACGTTAAACATTAATTATAGTAAGAGGAAATAAAATTCATATATGGTATGACATAAAAAGTACAAAGAAATGCTCACGTAATATTGGAATACTTCGATATCGCTTGTTTAGCGAGATTGTAAGCTTCTAGTGTCGTGTTTCGAGCTTGTTCGGCCAACATATGAAGCTTCTTAGCCTCATTGGTGTTCCTGAAAAAGACACAATGCCAAGAGTAATAATCATTAAATGTTTAAAACACTTAATATCAGCAATAACAATAAAAATAATATAATAATATTAAAAATAACAATAAAAATAATAATATTAACAATTTGCGGTCCACGTTCCGAAGTTATCACGCTCTCCGACTCGAGCAAATTGAGCTCTTGGTTCATACTTATCATTAGGTGCACTTTTTCAACTGCAAATAAATACCGATATAAAAGGATTTATTTAAGCACACTGACATTTTTGATTGTAAAATTCATACTTGTCTCTTATCAATAAACATAATAAATTTCAATTTTTGTATTTGTTTTTATTTGTTTTAGACGGTCAAAAATAGTTTCTTTTTTTATAACTAAGAAAAGTCAAGCCTAAGCACATTGATCCTTTGAAACTAAACATCGCTTTTTAAGATTTCCATATGATGAAATAAATTGTAGATTTTACTTTTTATTATCTATTATAATTGACTATGAAATTTTGTATATCTTCTGAAGATGCAACAATATAATCGTCTGACGAAAAATCTCCACACTCGGGCATAGTTCTATTAATAAATATTCTGCACATTTGTGTACTTTAATTATATCGTCCGTAGCTATTCATCACTTTGTAACACTTAACTATGACTCTTCACATTTACACTTGTTTTTAACATTATTAAGCACGTTTCGCTTTTATTTTTCCCTACACATTCTACCCCTCACATTTCCCCTCACATCTACTCTCAATCACAGATGTACATATCGTTAATATTATTGTTAATATTTATTTTCTCATCGCTAAATCATCGGTAGACCATAAAATGTTAATCTAAGAAATAAGTGCTTTTCAAAGGAAGAGTATAACTTCGAGAAAAATAATTTAATAATAACACGAAATACATACACTTCGGCGAGCAAACGAGCCTCTTGTGCGATTTCAGTCATCTGCTGGTTCTGTTGGCCGACCTGTTCCGCGCGCAATTTCGCGTCTGTAAGAGCACTCGCCCCGTCCGTGGCCAGATAATCCTCCGCTTCCTTTTATTCGCACAATCAATTAGAACAGATAATTGCATCACCTTCTTTCCCTTCTATCGATTTTCAGAAAATTCCCTCCAAATCTTTGTAATATTTTCAACGGCAAAATAAATTTAAAGAAAATGAAGGGGCTCTAAGACAGCCTTCGTCTCTTGAGGTCGAAATACAATTCAGCTGTTAAAAATAAGCCCTGTAAAGTATCGCTTACCGTCAACTGCTCGTACGTCTTATCTAGCACTTTCTCAGCATCGTCGATGCTCACAAGGCCTTCCTTGATGATATCGTGTGCGTCGTTCGCCGTTACGGTCACTGTCTGGTAAATTTTGTCGATCGCGTTGAGCTGCTCGCTCAACTCGTCCAGCTGCTCCACTAGCGTTTTGTTATCATCTGGACAAAAGAAAACATCTATGCAATGTCTAGCCATCGGTAGTAATAAAAGTAACAGTAAAAAATGTACACATATTATTGCAGAGACTTGTGTTTTTGAACATATCGACGTTCAAAACGTAGTGAATTCATATAAATCATGATAATATCATGAATGTGTTTACACTTGAGTCAATGTAAAATGTATCTAAAAAATAACAGTAATAATAATAATAATAATAATAAAAGAATAATAATTACTGCCATATCCTCTCTTGGCAACATTCAATAATGCCCTGACTCTATCTTGAACGTTTTTCAATTCCTTCTCAAAATCCGAATCATTGATGACGGTGGGACTACTGTTGATTTTCCTCAAGGTATCCTCCAGTTCAGCCAAGCGTAATCTATGATCATCTACTGCCGTCTGCACGAGATTGTAACAATCCGGACAATCCACGCATCCGTTCTGACGGTTGTGCTTATTTTCCTTGCAACGATCGCAACGTCTACCTTCCACATTCGACAGGCACTGCCAACAATCGTCGAGTGTGTCAGATTAATTTTCTAAAATCAGTTTCTTTCCATTTTTATTTCCAAGAAATTTCATCAAATCAAGGTGTTAGCGACCGTGCCGAGAAATGCGTGGCGCAGTTGTGTTTTAAACGGTGCCTCCCGGATATCGGGCGTCCCTCCGAAAACAGTATAATACGCGTCAAACTCCGGGTGACATCGTATCACAACGGTACTGATGGGACTTGAAATGGGACCAAAAGCAAAAAAAATTTCAATTCAGCTCTTGAGGACTCGGCTACGTTCTGCGCAGTGGTTAGATGCTCCGAAAGACATGCCGAAACCGATCCTTCATTCATGTAAGGTTTCAATGTATGGTGGTCTGCTAAGGGTATTGTGCATTTTTCGTTCTTGAAAAGGAGTGAAACTATAAATGCTGACCAAATACTGCCAAGAGATTGACGTTGTGATGGAACAGCCGGAGTTATTAAATAGATGCGGTATGTTATTGCTCTGTGACAATACTCGACCGTATGTGGCAAAACAAAGTGTGGAAAAATTAACAAAATACAAATGCGAAGTTCTTCCTTATTTTCCTCGTTCTCCTGACTTTTCTCCAATAGATTACCATTTTTTTACGCAACTGAATAACTTTCTAAGTGAAAAAGTATTCCAAACAAAAAGTGACGTGAAAAGTGCGTTCAACGAATTTCTTGCATCTCGCTCTTCCGATTTCCACATGAAAGGCATTGATGCGCTTGTATCGCGTTAGAGGAAGCGTATTGAGGTGAATGGAGATTATTTCAATTCACAAGATGTGTATAAAATATATCGAATAAAAGTTTACATTCAAAATTCAAAAACAGTGATTTCATCCGCAACAACCTGATATAATATATTCAACACAAATTCGCCGAGTTTCTTCGTATTATATTATTATTTTTATTTTTCGACCATTATTGTCACGGACCACCTATCCTGAATGTATACTTACAGGGCACTGTCCGTTGGCGTCGCATTGTAAATCCTGAGAGCCAATGCTGTCGCAATCACAAGGCTTGCAACCTTCTCGGCTGAATCCATATTGATACGGCTCGCATGCATCGCAGTATTGTCCGGTGACGCCTAATCTACACTGGCATTGACCGGTGATCGGGTCACAGGTTCGATTATATGAGCCCTCGAGATCACAGTTGCAGGGCGCGCAACCTTCACCACTCATGATGTGGTAGTAGCCCTCTTCGCATCGATCACAATTACGACCGATCACGTGCGGCTTGCAGGTGCAATGTCCCGTCAACTGATCGCACGGCATAACTCTACCGTCGTCCAGTTCCATTGTGCCCGGTGGATAGCACTGACACAACTTGCACCCGTCCTCTTTCCGATCCGATAATGCGTCCCCATAATATCCTACGATGGATAGAGCGAATATTTTTTAATGTTATTAGAAATGATAATTGTAGAAACATTAAATTTCAATTTAATGTTAGAATTAACATATACATGTACGTATGTGTGTATATATATATATTAAATGGAAATAAATTATATATTAAAGTACCAGGTAGACACTCGTCGCAGTGAAAGCCCGCTGTGTTGTTAACGCATTTGAGACACTCTCCGGTTAGGTGATTACAATTTCTCACCGCGTTTAAATCAATATTGTTGTTGCAGTCGCAGGGACGGCAAGCCAGGCCTCCCTCAGGATTTCCGTGGTAACCATCTGAACATGTTTCGCATCTGGGCCCTGAAAAGAGGACAAGTACTTTATTAAATTAAACAACGCCTAATAAATGAAAAATAAAAATCATATGTGAGAAGAGAACATATTACACATTAATTCACATGTCAAAGTGTGTCACAATCAAATCGATGAAAAAATTAAATATATCTTGGTTAATATAAAGAAACATACATTTATTGCGACTAATCAACCGTAATTTTGTATACTCGAGTTATTTTCGACCCCAAACGATTCTTTAATTTCTCGCAAACTATATAGCAAAGATTTTGTGTTAAAAACGGTCCACTAAAATTTTGTTATCTTAAGGATTATCATGAGGAATGTAGTAAAAAGTACATAAATGTATACAATTGTACGCGAAAATACACAATTATAGTAAAATTCGTAGTTTTATGAAAGTAATTAGTTTTTTGGCCCTCTTGTAAAATTATAATTTCGTGAGTTAGAAGGTTTTTTAATTTGGCCGACGATATAATATATAAGAAAAGTATTATATAAGTAGCTTATATAATTTAGCCGACGATATAATATATAAGAAAAGTATTATATAAGTAGCTCATTTATTTCTGGCTATATCTATTAATTCTGTTAAAATGCGAAAGATTTGTTTTTCTTTCGTCGAGCTGATTGTTAGACTTTATGTCTAACGGAAGTATTCAAACATTAGTAGGAATGTCAGAAGATACCTCGGATACCCGTTTGCTGTTAGAATACATACCGATATAAATTGAATATATGTATATAATTTTATTTTTCCAAGCAACGCCTACTTCTAACTTATAAAAAAAGATATATCTCTATATATTCAAATTATACTTTTTGACAAATTAAAATATATAATATCTTTTTCTTAAAGTTCAAGCATCGACAAAAAAATTGTCGAGTATTAATTTCTTAAATATATTTTCAGAAAAGTTGTAAATTTTTTTAATTAACTCATGTTTTTATTCACGTTTCTTTTTATATTTTCAATAAAATTAAATATTTAAGTGAAAATGAAAATGTGCATTTGTCTCTTTATATAATTCTATTGTACAGACTTAAAAGTATATCCATAATTTTTCAAAGATTTATATTAACACTTGTACAGAATTTAAAATAAAGAAGGGGACAAAAACGATCCCAGTGTTCAGATTAAAATACCAAGAAGATGTATGTCTTGTAAGAATTAGTATGAAAGTATCAAATATTTTACTTTGAATATTAATTACTTGCCTGTCCTGCCGATAGGGCATTCGGAGCAAATGGGATCGGGATTGCTTCCTAAAAGAATGCAAGGTCCATTATCAGGGCAAGGACACGGCTGGCAATCATCTTGCATTCCTCTCAACGGATGTCCGTAAAAGCCGCGGGCGCACAGCTCACAATTGTCGCCGGACGTGTTGTGTTGGCAGATACACTGTCCCGTCTCAGCTTCGCAGATGTCAGCGTGGCCGTTGCAATTGCAGGGTACACAGAGAGCAAATGGGCCGCCGTTAGGTGGGTCATGATGAAATCCTGGCGCGCAGGACTCGCAAAACTGGCCAACGTAGCCGTGAGGACATTGACAATGCTCCACCCAATCGATAGGCTCGCCAGCGGCGCCACGATGCGCTGTTTCTAACTTTACGTCGTCCAGAAAGCCTCGGCCTTGATTCGTGTATGTGCCACGAATTTTGATAGCCGTCAGGTTCGACAGGATCGACATAAAGGCTCGAGAAGAAAGCCGAGGTTGCCAACTGTAGTTCGCATGTTCGTGTAATTTGAATCGGTATTCCTGACGCTGCAAAAATAATTATATTAATATCGTGTGTCAAGTTTAAATATCAATTTTAATTGTGTGTGTTTACTGTGCATGCACATGTCAAAAACATAGCAAAATAAAAGAGAAAGTTTTCAAGGAATTATAACAGAATTGGATACAAGGAGCTTCTGTAAAAGAAAAAGGACATGACGAAAATGAACATATTAATTATTTTCTTAATGGTTCCTCTGCATGATTACATGTCATATATATATTAAAGACTGTGAGCAATGCATCCAGTACATAAAAACCGTTCACTAAGTGCTCACAAATAGTTGCTTATCATTGAGCGATCAGTGAGTAGTTTTCGTACTGAATGCATCCATTCAGAGAACTTGCTGTGAATAGTAACAAAAAACGTAGAAGAATAACGAACTTGGAAAGTAACGCGTTATTTTTAACATCGTTGCCGTTAAAAGTTACTTTTTTTAATAACAATTTGATAACAACATTATTTGGTTACATTAACAACAGTAACAGCAGTTACATTTCTTTTTTAGATAACGAATATAAATTATTACTTTGCACATGTACATATATAACGAAACAAGAAACAAGCACAGGTCTAAAAAAAAAAGTGTTCAAAACTTGGTAAAAAAGTAATCGAAATTTGTAACAACTCGTTATTTCTTGAGTAATGATAACGATAATGAATTACTTTTCTTTTTTTTTTCAATAAGTAACGAGTTACTTTTCAAGAGTAACTTCCCCAATCCTGAAGAATAATAACGTAAGGAGCTCACTTTGACGATCGGTTGTCGATTATTCTGTCCAAAGATAGCCTGCGTAATTTGACCGCCGTTCGCGCCTTCGAGAATCACGTCCCGCGCCGTGGCTGCTGCGCCAGGCTCGCCTACCCTCAGTGAAAAGGACAGATCTTGATTGTACGATGCTCGTTGATCCCTCAGAAATTTCTCAGGCGCGACGAAATAAACGTTGTCACGGCCTGGTGCGGTCACATAAATAGTTTGCGTTCCTGCATCGTACTTTACCGGGATCTGATTGCCGGCCACCATGGCAGACCAGCGTTCGTTTCCTCTGACAAACATGCTCTCGATGACGAGCTTAGAGTAACCAGTAGCTGATCGACAAACGGCGGAATGACCATAGCAGAAGCATGGCGTGCAGCCGAATTCGTTCTCCATCGCCAAGTTAAAGAAGCCTGGACGACATCTGTGTGTATGTGTATGTGTCAATAACACGCAGATTAAACATATAAGTATACAAAAAATACATGAAATTAAAAACGTATTAATAGAGATCGGATACTTTATAAAATTAAAAGGAAGAAAAGAGGCAGGAAAGAGGCAAAAGCTAACGATGAACAAAGATTTACTCAAAGCAAAGGCTATATATCGACATTGTTTCGCCAGCGATATTATATAGCAATATTATACAAGATGAATCGCTTAACTTTAGAAACTTAAGTATACGAAAAATAAAGTAAAATAGAAAGAAATGTTCCGAGTAGTAAAAGTTGTAGAGTTTGAAAGGAAGTATAAATTGGTGACGTTAACTTCGTTGTATAGCCCAGCCTTGCGGTCATTTTGCCCTTTTCCATAAATTTCACCAATTACCATCATCACCTCTCTTGTTTCATAATTTGACGAATTTTGCCCTGCACGCTGTTCACTATTTAGAGTGTTGCTAACTTTATAATATATTGATAAAAACAATAATAATAATAATAGTAATAATACCAATTTAAACAGTGAAATGAAAAACGCGCGGGGCAACACTCGCCAAACTCCCGTACAATTTCTAGCTATCATCCCTGAGATCGAGCATCTTCGAGAAGAGCCTTGGTCAGGCCTGCAGTCGATTTGCACTTTTTTACAGGTATCGCCGACTGTCATCTCTATTTTTAATAAATTTAATACTTCAACATCAATTATAGGTTAATCAAACGGTACTGACTCTCTGCAGCGTTTCCCTTCGACGTTCTCTTTGCAGTCGCAGACTCCCGTGACCGCGTCGCAGTTGGGACTATTTCCCTTCGATCCCGCGGGGCTGCACTCACACGAGGTACAACCCAACGAGCCAAAGTTGTAAAAATTTGACTCACAACGATCACACTTATCACCTGTCACACCCGGCTTGCATTGGCACTTGCCTTCGCTATTACACTGCAGACTTCTGGAACCTGATCACCAAGTGCAATAATTATTTTTAACAATTAAATAATCGTAAGGAAAATTCTCAAATCTCATCCTGTTTTGACAAGGCAAGTAGAGCAGATTGTTTGTAACATTAATTCGCGAGCCCTTCCTTGTCAAAATCATTTTGAAAGTTTTCGTAGAAAAAAAATCGCACACATACCGATTTCGTTACAGTTGCAGGCGATGCAGAAATTATCCTCGAGACGTTGATAATAATTTTCACGGCATCGTTCGCAGTTAGCGCCATCGCGATTCGCCTGACAGTCCAAGCAGTGACCTCCGTGACCCGTCAGCTTATATAATTCTTTGTCAAAATAACACCTATCCGAATAGCCGTTGCAATTGCAAGCTGCAAGAAAGCCAGTTAACATTATTCAGAATTATTTGCATGTAAAAAGCACTTTAATATATATAAACAATAATGATATTAAAATATCCTATTGAATAAATTCATAAAAAAATGTTCTTTTACTATATTATATTATAATATAATATTATATAAAAATATACAAATATTATTATGAATATAAAATAAACATAATATAATATAATGAATTTAAATATAAAAATATTATATAAAAATATAATAATTAATTAATACTGGATCTTTGCCAGGGGAGATGTCCGTCCCATGAGATGCATTTTACTATATAATCTATTATTATTAACAACGTTAAAAATTTCATTTTCCAAATGTAATAATTTTCACTGAAACCGATGAACCGAAAAAAGTTGTTATTTCAAAACACTTCCACTTTAATTAAATTATGAACACTCTGGATGTCTGTATTCTTTCTACAAGAATATTCATCTGATATTTTATACACTTATTTATTATTACAAACTTCTTCGAATTATTACATCACTTGGAAATCCAATTTTCCAGAAAAATTTCATTGTATAGCGAGTTTCGGGGATTTCGACACAGAAAGAGAGAGAGAGAGAGGGAGAGAGAGAAACAGATACGCCTTTTATCGTGGCTAATAGCAACACGACGAATGCAGGGAAAAGTACATTGCATCTTGCCCATCCCCACTCGTGAGTGCGGTTGTGAGATGCACGTTAAAGGTAAAGCCGGCCAGCACGTAAAAGGCAACGCTGAACCAATGCCGTCGTTTATGGTCGTCTCGCGTCGCGTGATCATCGTAAAAATCAAGTTTTGGAATTCGAATTCAAACTAAAATGTAGATTTTAATTTAGATACGAATTCAATGGATTTTGAACTTTATTTCCTAGTATACTTCAGTTAAGAAAAAACTTTCTTCGAAAATGTTTAATATTTAATTTTTTAACATTTAATATTTGATCAATCAAAACTATGATCGATAATCCATCTTCCCAACATCTTTCATTTAACAATTTTATGGATTTTTCTATGCAATAAACTATCTAATGTTTTGTCTTAATTATACATAAAAAATTGTTTTTAAATATCGATAAGTTGACGTAAAAATACGAAGCAAGTACTTACGTTTGCATTCATGTGCATCCGCGGTAGTAGCTCGACCCCATGGCGCATCATTATAAAAGGGCAGACACTCGTTGCAATCTGGACCGGCGGTGTTATGTTCGCACCTGCAACATCGATTTATCAATTTTCGACCAGATCGAAACGGTTAATAAGAAATGTACTGTAGACGAATTAAGAATAATTATTATGTTGTCATAAATCACTACTACAAATTACTATTGTCATTCTCTTATTGTTGGATAATATAATTATTATTGCAAGTTATCATTACAGTCGAAAATATATCTCATTGCAATTGTTAAAGAAAATATATTTATATATTATATAATATGTATATGTTAAATATATACAGCATGAATACCAAAACTGTTACAGGCTAATATTTCTGAAACTAAACATGATATGAAATTCTTATTTTCCAACGAAGCGTATCGAAGCGGGACATTGTGTGATAAAGTTAATATTTTTCTAAGCGAAGTTGTTAAGGTCATTTCAAGATCAACTTCATTCTTTTTAATGAAATTATAGTTTTTTTTAACAAAAATTGATTCATCCGTTCAATCCGCATATAAAAGTACTAATGTAAAATCATCGTAAATACTTTTCGAAATATTTTATTCTGAGTTTTCAGCACAAAATATTAAAAAATATGAAATATCTCATCAAAGTATTCATTTCTCGATATCATCACTTTAATATTTTTCTACATAATAATATAAAAGAAAAGATTCGAAATTCAAAGTTTAATATACCGATGTTTATCGCTTAGTAGAACAACTGTAATATACCTGTAAATTAGGCCACTTTGAACAAAAAAGTCCTTCACCATTTTGCAAATATATACATACGTAAATTTTTAAGTTATTAATTACATGGTCATTTTCAATAATTAATAACTCGAAATTTTCAATGTTGATGGTAAAATGGTACAAGATTTTTTTGTTCATCTCAATCCATTTTACGAGCTCATGAAATTTGTTCATCGAGTTCTAGGACACTTTGTATATACAGAGTATTTCAGAAATAGGTCGCTAAACTTTAAGAGCATATTCTATTCATTGTAAGAATGAAAAGTCATATGAATGTCGGTCCGGAACCACTTCCTATCCAAATTATAAACACTTTTTGTTTACAACAGACTTTGGTAAGAACACTCATTAAAGAAATCGCTGGAATTGATTTTCTTGCGCATCAATGCATAGTAATAATACGATTTTGAAGTACCTCCATAGTAGCAACAAAAGTATTGTGACCGACAATATATATTATAATAACTATAAACAAAAGTTTTAAGATATTCTTATAAATAAAAATCTAAGGAAAAGGATGTTTAAGTCGAAAGAACGTGCAAGCCATGCGAGAAGGTGAATAGAAAGACAATCTGTGAGACGTTGATGCGAAGCATGAACTTTGTGTATATACATGTGTGTGTGTGTGTGTGTGTGTGTGTGTGTGTGTGTGTGTGTGTGTGTGTGTGTGTGTGTGTTCATCACTGTGCCCGCATGTATATGTGGGTGTGTAATAAAAATATATTGATAAGAAACGAATCATTTTACCGGCACACTCGACGAGTTCTGCCGTCCACACTGGTACTGTTAACGCATTCTCCAGCGTGGCCGTTGCAGGCGCATCTTGCGCCAACTGCTACATCAGCGATGGCGTAGTAATAAGACTTCAACACGTGCAAGTCGCCGAAAACTTCGTCACCAAATGTGTTCAGTCTATCCAGAGTGATTCTCAAATCCGTCGCTTGTACCCATTCCTAAATAAGATACAATAATAATATTAATATTTGTAAAATTAGACTTCGAGAGATATACGATCGAAAGAAATTACCTGAAGCTCGGGATTGGTGTCAAAATAGTAGGCGGAAGGTCGGCCTTCCAAGGTAGAAAAGGCGACGGTACCCTTAGTAAGGGGTGAGATGTCGGAGAAATCCGACGTGCATAGTACGCGGGTATCGTCACCGCGTATAGTTTCTTTCGACTCGGGTAGTTCATACGTGTCTCTGCACGAAGCCGAGTAAAACTGATACGGCTCCCACGGCGACTTCTCGTTCTTCCGTTTGTAAATGCCCCAACTCTCTGGCCGTGGGGATTCGAACAGTACTCTCACGTACGTTATATCGAATGTTTTGCCTATAAACCGATTAAAATCACACGCCTCGTTAAAGTAATAAGTAATTATTATATAAATATCATTCTAAAATAGAATAATTACATGACAAGAAATTAATAATATTGTGTAATATAAACCGTTCCTAAAATTACCGTCATTTTTTTCAATTCTTCGAGTTTGTTAATGCACTTGTAGAAATAATGGTATTTAAGAGGAGAAGGAACAAGAATGTTTCGGTGAGTGCAGACATAGTACGCAGATAAGATTCGCAGCGTAATAAAATTCTCCTCTCTTTAGTTATTTCGAGAGACATTTAAAATTATCTGGGGCATCAATTAAATAATCGAACAATTTAAAGAGAATAGGACAAAAGTTTCAGAAATTAAAAAATCAGGTCAATCAATTTCACGAATTTGACAAAATCACAATAATAAAACTTACACATAAAATAGAATATAAAATCGCAAAATATAATTAATTATAACATAACCTATGTATAAACAACTGTTGAATACTATTCCATAATAAAATTATTATTATTGAAAACAATTCTTCACACAGCTCTAGTGTTCTCGAGAGGTAATCTCGAGTATTTCTCCATAGTCCGCTAAAAGATTTATCTCATCGCGCATACATCCTCGTAGATAAGGAAGTAGGATGGCAGAAAGAGACAGAGACAGCAAAAAAGAAGGAGGGGAAGAGATGAATAAACGTCTCTCAGCGTAAATTTTCTGGCCATTACTCTATATTATATGGCAAGTGTTTGTTGATATATTAAATTATTAAAATATCACTTGAGACAACTATAGCAGCAAATTGTGTGACTTATATATTTCAGGTATATAATCAGAAATTATGTTTTCTCGTTATGGTATCTCGTCAACTTTCCGCTATATTTATTCTATACAATATTCTATAATAAATAAACACTGAGAAACAACGTAAATTTTATATACCGTCCTTCTTTTTATCATAATAATATTAATATTAATGAATGCATTATTGATGATCGCATTAGTTTTGATCAAAAAATTAGAGAATGACATACCCAAATGCAAAGTGAGATTAACTTGATTGGGATACTCAATGCCCTCGTACATGGTGCTGGACTGCCACCATGTGGCATTGTCATTGTTATCGTGGTCGGTGAGATAGATGGCTGAGTGGTCACCTCGTTGACACATCTCGCACGATTTCTTTTGCACGCCTGTTTGCTTGCAAAATTCCGTCGGATGATCCTCGCCGCATGTGTTGGTTGCCTCCATCAGCACGTTGAACGCTGCATTCTCAAATGGTGGTATACATCTCTGAAATATGAATAGAAAATCCTCTTTATTGCATTATCATATGTTTTTCCTTCTTATATTTATATTCTCTTCCCTATATTTTGCATATGTCCATAACTATTCCCTATATCTTTGCTAGTAAGTAAATAATATTACTATAATCCATATTTAGGTCGAAAAAATATATGCAAAATATACTTTCAATATTTATTTATTCATTGTTGAATAAATAAATGTTTTTTTTTTATTATTTCCTAATTATTTATTCATTCTTACTTTTCAAAATTGCTTTTCTTCTTTATATCGATTTATTTTTCAAGATTGTTGTTTCTCCAGTCAGTAAATATTTTCAATATTGTTGTTTCTCCAGTCAGTAAAGATTTGCGTTGTGAAGATTAGCAAGTTAAAAAATAAGGAAAGAATAAGAAAAAAATAAAATTTATCGATATAGATATTTTCTAAATGTTTATAGGATTCTTGGTTAATACAAATAGAGAAGGATTCTAGAAAGCCTCTCTTGGACTTGGAAATGCTATCTATTCTTCATATCATGGACCAGTTATCTTCGTGGGTTCAAGCAACTTGGAACCCTTGTGATAACCCACTCTATTAACATTCTCCCGAATTCCAAAGCTATGTCAAGCGATACTGAATATAAATAACTTTTGCCTCATTTTTACAAAGAATATTGTTTTTGTTATTATTTTTGAATATACTTGATATACTTTTGAATATACTGAATATACTTTTTGTTATTATAAAATACTTTATTTAAAAGCAATAATAAAATATGTAACAGTAATATTTGAAAAGAATATAAGGCTTAAATTGAATAATTGTAAAGTAACATTAAGTTTTCTACATTATAAAAATACAAAATAATCCAACAATTGTGTCAAACGTATATCCCCTTTAAGAATTAAAAAATCTTAGAGAATAACACAAAATAGCAAAAAAATAAAAAAAGTGATTTTAAATTAATCACAGATTCTCTGGTACGGTAAATTAACGCGATACCATTAATATAAATAAATAAGAAAACCGATGACGAGGAATATGTAATAACGTGATGACACAGGGACAAACCTGAGGTTTGCCATTCTCGTCGTAACATTTGTCTTCTTTGCGCGTTCTCGGCTGTAAGCGACTGAACAGCTCTTCCGAGGGTTCCGGGTTGGCTAGCACGTAGCTTCCTGCGAGCAACAACAACAGGAATACCTCGGTCATTTTTACACACGGAAAAACTCCAGCGTCCGGAACTTCACGTCACTGAACCCTCTTCTCACTGCTGGGACCAATCGTACTGGGAATTGAGAGAAGACAACTCTCGAACGGTGTTATGCAGCGGCGAGGGTCACTCACCACTGTCGATCGTTATTATTATCGAACGCGGCACATTTCCCGACCGTTTCGGAAAGAGAGATCGGACTGACTGACGCGTAACCTACAAGCAAACAAGCGGAGCACGGATGAGTAACGGCGCATTCATATGCCGCGGCACACGCTCTCTCTCGCGCGCGCGACTTTGTATCTATACCTCTCCGCTTCCCACGCAACTCCTCCCTGCTCATTCTCGCGGAAGCGTCGGTGGCTTTCTGCCTCCCCCACTATTCCACACGCTCAAACAAGCCCGCCTACGCCATATGCGAGATTACCTGGGATTTTCACAGAAAGCGCGCGCGCACGCACACAAAGTTGTTCGACGTTCCGTTTCTGATCTCTGAGAAAATCATCCGGACCGGAGCGGGAGATTGAGCGGGTCCGATCGTGAATCTTATTCCTCCTCCCTTAATGTCAATTCCCCGTGAAAAAAGAAAACTTGTAAATATTTCCATGTAGATAAATTCTCACTTTTCATGAATTTGTGTCAAAGGAAAATTGCAATCGTGACTCTTCCCGGGTATCGATTACGTAACTTTTCCACTAGAAGGAAACGTGAAAAGTGAAATGTCAAATTCGAAAATTTACACTTTTCACGAATTCAAGCTAAAAGAGAAGATTCATGGTCAACACTTAACGTGGTCATAAATAAGAGGTCTGTTCGTTTTCGCTGCACCGCTGAACTAGTGCAAAGTTGAAGTGAGAAAACATATACTTATTTTTCCTCTAGTGTGAACTCGTAAAAGTAGAAATTTTCTAATTTGAAATATTTCACTTTTCACGTTTCCGTCCTAGGAGAAAAGTTACACGATAGATATCCTGATTCGCGAATCTAGAATATTTCAATCATAAACAAATATCACTAGATTCCGGGTTGTTGGGACATTTTCAGGCGTAGTGTTTCGATATTCACCACCATGGCTGCATTCTCGTTGGCTGCTCATACGCTGTAAGCGTCATTCTATCTTTGTTATTTGTCACGTGCCAGAAGAAGAGAGAATGATGCATACAGCGCGTGAGGGCCCAAAGAAAATGCAGCCATATCTGTTTACCGTGACTCTTGCCACGTCTTTTAAATGACGGGAAATGTATCTCTAAACGTACCTGAAGAATAAGAAAGTATACATACTCTATTAGTGTAATTTAATTGATAATTGATATTATATTTAACTTAGTATAAAAAAGGATATCCATACTGAATAGCAAAATGATTTACTAAATTTCGTAACAAAAATAAATCAAGTTTAAATAAAATGCAATGACAGTCATTGGGTCTGTTCGTTTTCGCTGCATTGCTGAACTAGTGCAATAAGTTGATGCGAGACAAGTATATGTTTTCTGACTTCAACTTATTGCACTAGTTCAGCGGTGAGGCGAAAACGAACAGACTTTTTATTGTCATCACTACAGGAAATCTCTGACAATAAAAATAAAATAAATCTAACTGAATTTATCGAGTGTGTGTCGAGAAACCATTAAATAACAAATGGAAACTAAATTGATATCCGTTAAACGCTAATATTCACGTTATAAAATAAAGTAAGAAATAAAGAATTAATTAAATTAAAATAAATTCATATCAAATGTCATCGTTTCAAGATGTCGCGCTATTTGTCGCGAAAACCTTTTCAAAGTGACTTCGAAGTTCCTTCGAATTCTTAAATACATCTTCTTTAGGCACTTTGTCCTCATTGATTTTGTCATCTTCACTATGTTTAATTAATAAAGCATTCCAACTGGCGCTTTTCGCACCGAGATAATCATTATCGACCGTATCGCCGATATGCATTGCTTCTCGGGGCGAAATCTTCTCCTTTCGAAACAACGTCGTCAGCCTCAGAGCCTCGTTAAAGATGGACAAACTTGGCTTCTCCATGCCGAAATCATAAGAGGTAAGAACGAAGGCGAAGTAGTCGCGAATCCGTGTGTCCTCGAGGATGGACTCGAGACGCCGGTCGAAATTCGAGATGACTCCGAGGACGACGTCCTTATTTCGCAGAAAATCGAGCAGCTCAACGACACCCGGATACGTGTGCCAACATCGGGCAGTGGCATAGCAGCTTATCAGGTTGTCGGCGACCTGCAATGATAAGAGCGAGGTTAACGATAACAGAGTTTTTCACTATCTAACTTTTTCTCCTCTTTTTTTACATTTTATATCAGAATCTCATATCATTTCAATAAGTAAAAGATAAGATAAAATTAATTCTTTGTATCTCATTCTCACTGCGCGAATGTTTCTTTCTTATGTTTCTCCTCTCGCTTTTTAATTTTCGCTTTTTCACGAAACATATTACCCGCGACAGCATAATTATTATTATTACCTTGTTGAGCGCATCCTGGGACACGAAAGGATGCTGGTCCTTGAAAACCTTGTGGACGAGGATTCGCCACCAATTTTCCCATCCCAGCCCGGTATGTCGGCCGTAGATCGGATGCTCCGCGGCGAGCTGGATGAAGTTGCTCTTGAAACTTCGCGCCAAACGATGAGAATCAATATGGAGACCATATTGGCGGCCGATATCGACATAATGCTCCTCCAATTTGGTCATCAGCAACGTTCCTGTCACGTCGAAAGTTACGAGGCGTGGCCGAACGCGTCGAATCATGATCTTTGACAGTCTCTGAACAGGAAGTCCTCAACAACTCCACGATCGTTCGAAAAAGCAAATTCAGAGCTACGAATTCGCCGTAAAAATATCACGAACACACACCAGATATGAATGCGGCGACATTTGCCAAGCATCTAGCGAACACGAGGCGAAGTCGTAAGATAGATTTTGTATTTAACAACCATCGATAATTTGAAATTACTATTGGTGAAAATTGTTAAAATTTCTAGACTCAAAGATGGTTTAGAAGAAGCTAATTTTAATCGATCATTGAAAAAATATATTACTTATATTGATAACAGCATGTACAGGGAGAATAATCAATGACAAGTTCAAAAATTTAAACTGTAACTATCACTTGAAGCCATCTTCAAGGGATCACGTTTTAAGCACCAAGGGACACGTTGCGCAACAGAAACAATAACATAAATAATAACAATTGAAAATATAAATATAATTTAAATTTATATTTAAAATATAAATAATAATAATAATAATAGTGTAGAACAGTAATATAAATAATAATAATTAAGAAGAAAAAGAAAGGAAACACTATGTAGTTATTGAGAAATGTCCAATGTTGCATTCAGCCATATATTTTTTATTATTCTGATGTAACACTGCGTTCGGTGCGTACTTATCGATAAAAGTACCACGTATTAAAATCTAGGTTTTACGTCTGGTATTATAGATAGGAGTGTTCTCAACGTAGCGATTAATGGCCACCGTATCGCTTAAATTCCGGTGGTTCTTCCCCTCCAGTCCATCCCCGTTCATCGGCATTCGACTGACGTCCAAACGGCGTGCGTCACTGCTATACATATATATTACATATGTGTGTGTAGGAGGATACGAGTCGCGCGATATGAGTCTGTGAAGATCCAACGAGTGATCATATTCGTGTTTCTCACGTTTCTCGCATTTCTCATTTTGTACAAGCCAAGCCTCACAGATGGGTGATAAAGTACGCGATGTCGTTCTCATATTTGTTTGCGCGGTCCTCGCGTTGGTAAACGGGTACACGTTGAGCTTCGCCAAACCGCAGAGCAACAATGTCACCACGTCTTACACACATTATGAGGAGCTACAGCGGTTGTTTCACTCTCTGGCCGAGAAGTACCCGCATCTGGCCCGAGTGTTCTCCATCGGGAAGTCGGTGGAAGGTCGGGAGCTCTTAGTGCTTGAGATCTCGGAGAATGTCAATCACCGCAATCCCGGCGAGCCTATGGTCAAATATGTTGCCAACATGCACGGTGATGAAGCTGTCGGCAGGCAACTGTTGATCATCCTTGGCCAATACCTCTTGAACGAGTATGGGAAAGACGAGCGTATCACCAAACTAGTGAACCAGACTGATATCTATCTAATGCCTTCCATGAATCCAGATGGTTTTGAGAAATCACTGGTAAAATCATGATTATGTTGAAGTAACATAGGAAATGAGGAGATGATGATTAATCTGAAGGATTTTTGCTTATTCCTCCAGGAAGGAAAATGTGATTCCAAGGAGGATTTTTCAGGGAGGGAGAACGCCAATCATGTTGACCTCAATCGTGACTTTCCTGATCAATTTGAGAGAAGAAGTCAACTCAGAAGAGGTAACGTTATATTAAATGGACGTCAGAATGAGACCATCGCTATGATGACCTGGATTTCCAATGAACCTTTTGTACTCTCTGGTAATCTTCATGGTGGTGCTGTGGTTGCCAGCTATCCGTTTGATTCTGGGTAAATATATTGTAGATTTATTGCTATCACACTTTTTATTATTTGTATCTGTCACTTATGTTTTTACAATACTTATATATTGTTTGTCAAAAAATTCATTTTTCCAGAATCCCTAAGACATGCTGTATAGAGAGTAAAAGCCCAGATGATAATCTATTTAAGTATCTTGCCCACATTTATGCAGACAATCATCCAGAAATGCATAAAGGCGATGCTTGTCCACCAGAAGTATTCCCAACTGGCGTTACAAATGGAGCATATTGGTAAGCGATCATATTATGATGTAAAAATCAATATTCTGTAGTAATTCTGTTTGCAAAATTATTAGACATTTTTGGGGAACATAAATAAATATTTGAATATAGTTTATTCCGTAAAATTAAATCACTCATGAAATCACAATTTATCATGTTATGAAAATTCCTTGGGTTTTTAACAGGTATGAAGTAATTGGCGGAATGCAAGATTTCAATTATGCCCGTTCTAATTCATTTGAAATAACGTTTGAACTAAGTTGTTGCAAATATCCACCAGCTTCAACGATATCAAATCAATGGGAAATGAATAAAGAACCTCTGATTAAATATTTGGAACAAGTACATAATGGAATAAAAGGTAATGTTCAAATATGTCATTTTTATCTTGTTTAATTGATCAAATAGAATATATATAAAATGTTTCTTATTGCAGGATTTGTACATAGCAAGGATGGTAATCCAATCCAAGAAGCAAACATCATTGTAGCAGGAATAAACCATAATGTAACTACGACAATTGATGGCGAGTATTGGCGTTTGCTTCTCCCAGGGAATTATTCAGTTTATGCTACTGCATGGGGGTAAGTATATTGTAATGAATAAATACTAGGTATGTGCAAGAAACTTTAGTCTTTTTGTATGGAGATAAAATGAAAACTTGCAAAAAAAAGACTAAGAATTATGCACCAATATATAATAGATGTATATCATATCTTCATTGAATTAAATATTATTCGTTTTTAAGGCTCCCGAGTAGTCACAGTGACTATCCTTGTTTAATAACGTCAGAAGCGAAAAAACACATACCAAAATTTTTTGTGATATACTTTCATATAAGAAGATATATCCATAAAATGACATTTACGATCGATTTATCAAATTTGTAAAATTGGACGAACACTTTCCTTTTGTTCGAACAATCAATAAGTAGTCGTAAAATTAACATTGACAAAATCTCAAGAAAAGAGGTTGGAAAAGAAAGTTTCATGTCAAATTAATTTTGCGACTATTGATTGTACGAGTAAAAGATAAATGCTCGTTCAATTTTACAAACATGCTGAATCGATTACAAATATTTTGTGGATATATCTTTTTGCTTGAAAGTATAACGCAAAAAATCTTGCGTTTCTTCGTTTCTAATGTCATTAAACAAGGACAGTTATAGCAAGTACAGATACTATTTATAAATATATAAAATACGTGTAGAAATTTTTTTTTTATACAACGTATAGAGAGGAATTATTCGAGGAAATAATTTTAAACACCTCGCCCATATTATCAAACCGAAAATTATTTTCAATAGGTTTTTTTTTATTATAACATTTGTTTTCTGTTTAGGTATGAACCCAGTGAGACTGTAAATGTTACCGTATCGAAAGAAACCCCAATAATTCTTAATTTTACATTAAGCGGCGGAGAAGTATCTTATAATCAAGGTAAAGCTGATATAAATTATCCACAAATACTACCGCTTTTTAGCAGATTTCCAGCACTTTATCAAATGTTAATGGATTATGATAAATGAAATTATAATATATGCCTACATCAAAAACTAATTAATTATATCGTTCTCGTGGCTATTACTTATCTAACATCTATCTTTTTTCCAAATTATAACAAGCTGCTGCTAACTAATACATCAATATTATTCATTTTAACAATTTTAACAATTAACACATTTTATTGTTAGTTAATTTTTATCTAACATTACACAACATTTACATTTATACGCGTTATC